GAATTTGAAATACCATTTGTTCCCATTACTAGGTATATATCCTAAAGAAGTGAGAGCTAGGAGAAGAACAGATATATGCACACTCATGTTCATTACAGCACTATTTACAATAGCAGAAAGATGGAAACAACCTGGGTGTCCGTCAAGTGAAGAATGGATAACCAAACTATGGTACATCCACACAGTGGAATACTATACAACCCTAAAGAGTAATGTAGAATGTGCAAAACATTGCATAACGTGGATGAACTTGGAGGGCATTATGCTGAGTGAAATAAGTCAATCATAGAAGGACAAATACCATATTAATTCATTATTGGGAAAAGCCAAAGAAAGGTTTATATGTGGAAGGAACTTCTTTGTTGGTTACCCTGGGTGGGAGGAGAAGGGGAGGGAACACCGCAAAAATAAAAAATCATAATAATAAATTAGGAAAAAAGAAAACTAAACAATAGTTTAGCTTAATTAGTATAAAATAAAAACTAGGAACTTTTAAAATCATTTTTATAATAGATATATTTACATGGAGAAATAGATGTCACGTATGCGTTTACACATAACAAAGGATCTGTTTTGAGAACATTAAGCACTGAAGTCATCATTGCGCAGTTGTAGAGAGAAACGTGAAAACTAGAGAATATTGGCAAGACTGTGACATTGGAAATACTTCCCCTAGTCCATAATTTATGCTAACACTCACCTCAGTGGACATTCCGTTAGCCCCAGCCTACATGTCTTTTACTTTGAATTCCTAAGATTTGTATGTATCCCATTTTCTACATGATTAAATGTGTTTGTGGACCTACTTGCCAGCCTGAGAGAACAGACCTCACCTCTGAAACCCGTGAGCATGGATCCTTGAGTACCTCATTCTCAACAACATAATGACTGAGGATTTTCCTTAAGGGGAAATTTTGTTGTTGTTGTTGTTGAATTTTTATTGTGATTTGGGTGAAAGTTTACAGAGCAAATTCATTTTCCATACAGCAGATCACATACGTTTTGTTTCATGACATTGACTGCATTCCCCACAATACAATAGCTCTCTTTCCACTTCTTCCTCTTTCCTGTGTCCTTCTTTCCTTTCATTCCTGCCCCCCCCCCAGCTGTCTCCCTGTGCAAATACTGCCCTTTTGTTCTCAAGAGGGGACATTTTGTCACATTTCTGTATAGAATATATGCCAAGTTATTGGGTCTTGAACATTTATCAAAAGTGTATCTTTACATTTCACAGTTTTGGCCTTACCGTTCACATTTCAGTACCACCTGAGATGTAAGCTATCACTTGCTAAAAGGCTAAGAAATGGATTTTTGCAGATTCATTTTACTTCTTAATACCTTGTTTTTGCAGAAAGTCCAGTCTCCTCCCTGGAGTCACCTTCGAAAGCTGTTGTAAACTCAAAAGAAACAACTTCAGTGGCACAAATTGCTGCCCAGGTACTTTTCTATGAGATGTTTTGTAAGGGATGTTTAATTTCAGGTTGAGTGAGGAGTATCCTCTTTACTCTTGAAGAAACATTTGGGTCTCATTTCACCTTGTAAAGTGCTTTAACAGGCCTTAAATGTGCTATTGTGAGTCTGCTAATTTATGTTACTAAAATAATTCAGTTGTTTTCTAGAAGCTACAGAAATTAAAACTAGAAAACCTTTTTCTTTTGGAAAATTAGAAAAGTTTTTTCTTTCAAGGCTAATAGGCATTTTTGTGAGGATATATGGAAACGAGTACTCTCACACACTGTTATCTTCATTTGCACATTTGGGAGCATAGTGTGAAAATGAGATGCAATTCTTTTCCCAGAATGTCTAGGGCCTTATCTATTCTGAATTCATGATATTCCAGAGTGTAGCAATCTTAACTCCAGTAGAAGCTCAGGCTTAAAAAGACTGGATCCAATGTCACATACTTCTTTTTCTCCTTTCTTCCTCTTTCTTGAGAATTTTTGAGATGAGATTCACATAATATAAAAGTAGTCATCTTGAAGTGAACAGTTGGTGGCATTTAGTACTTCCGCATTATTGTGCAGCCACCGTCTTTATCTAGTTCCTAAACCTGTCCATCAGTCCAAAGTAAATCTCCAGACCCATTAAGCAGTTTCTCCCCACTCTAACTGCCTCCCCAAGCCCTTGACAACAGCCAATTGGTACAATGAATTTATGTGTTACAGGTATTACTGTAAGTGTCATAATACAATATACGTGTTTAGCTACTTTCACTTAGGATAATATCTTGGAAGTTATTCTACATTATATCATGTGTCAGTACTTCATTCCTTTTTATTCCATTGTATGTATGTGCCGCAATGTTTATCTTTTCATCTATTGATGGACATGTGGTTTGTTTCCACTTTGGCCTTTGTCTGTAGTGTTGCTGTGAACATGTGTGTACATTAATTTGAGCATGTGGTTTCATTTATTGAGGTATGTGCCTGGCAGTGGAATTAAAGGAGTCTCATGTTTGGTAGTTCTGTGTTTAAGTTTTGAGGAACTCCTAACTTGTTTTTTATGGCAGCTGAACAGTTTTTGCATTCCTACCAGTAATATCTGAGGGTTCCAATTTCTCCACACCCTTGTAAACACTTATTTCCATGTTTTTTATTATAGTCATCCTATAGGTGTGAGGTGCTATCTCATTGTAGTTTCGATTTGCATTTCCCTAGTCACTAATGAGGGATTCCAGGTGAAGTAGTAGTTAAGCACTTGGCTGCTAACCAAAAGCTTGGTGGTTCAAACCCACCAGCCTCTCCACAGAAGAAAGATGTGGCAGTCTGCTTCTATAAAGATTACAGCCTTGGAAACCCTATGGGGCAGTTCTGCCCTGTCGTATAGGGTCGCTGTGAGTCTGAATTGACTACCCATCACAAAAGAGCAACTGCTGCTAATGATAGTGAATGTCTTTTAACATGTTTTTTTGGCCATTTATTTATCTTCTTTGGAAACCTCACATATTGCTGAAGCATTCTTGTGTTCTTATTATTTGGTAATGGGATTGAGGAATAGGAACTATGAAGTATACTTGTACAAGTAGTCACTACCCATAAGATAAGCTCACCAATTTTACAAATGTGTTTTTAGGTTCCTGAGTCCTTTGAGCACCTGCCACCTCTCCCAGAACCACCATCACCGCTACCTGAGCTGGTAGACAAAATTCGAGACACACTTCCTCCCCAGAAGCCTGAGCTCAAAGTCAAACGAGTGCTGAAACCCAGGGGCATTGCCCTGACTTGGAATATCACCAAAATCAATCCCAAATGTGCTCCTGTGGAAAGCTACCACCTCTTCCTCTGCCATGAGAGCCCTAATAATAAGCTGATTTGGAAGAAAATTGGAGAAATTAAAGCTTTGCCACTCCCTATGGCCTGTACTTTATCTCAGTTTTTATCATCCAACAAATACTATTTTACTGTACAATCGAAAGACATTTTTGGACGATACGGACCATTTTGTGATATAAAATCTATCCCTGGGTTTTCTGAAAATCTTACCTAAAAGAAAAGACTTCAATAATTGTATATTGTAATATATCTTGTTTCATTTTTGCCATATTTGAGTTATTTATAATGTTACTCTAACTCTATTTGCAGCTTTAGAGTGTGAGTTGACATTGTGAAACCTTTGTATAGGGACAGTCCTATGTGTTATAAGTGACCTATAATTTCATGAATTTCTGATTTACATTTAGTAAAAACTTCAGTGGTATGTTTGAAAACAATATACACTGTCATGGACCCCTGTTGCTAATCTCTGTGGGAACCATAGCTTTGATGACTGTGCAGTGGCTGCTTGTATCAGAAGGCCTGGGATACAAGCAGACACTGTTTCCTCTTTTGAATAATCAGATTTTGATTGGCTTGTGGCCAGTAGAGCTACAGGAAAAACCAGCTCTTTACAACGGCCAAATTATCCCTGGGATGTATTTCCACCAAAGCTTTATGAAAAGAAATGTCTGTTCTTTATTTGTTCAAATTCTGAGTGAGCTACGGATTTATGCCGTTTTCCCCCAACAGACACTTTTTTGTTGTTGTTGTTTTTAATATATTTTTGTTAGGTCAATCCTCAGAAAGTCTGGAGGCTTTCCCTAAATCTGTTTGTGTACTTATGTGTAATAAAATTTGTTAAACATCATGTGCTATGTACACAAAACATACAGTATCTCTTTTATAAAAAAGCATTATCCAATCCACTATTTTTATTGAGGAAAATGGAGTTGTTCACCTTAGATGTAAGGCTTTGATCTGTTGATCCACCTCATGGGACCCTTTGCTCATTTCCTGGTTGCTCTAACTACTCCATACTGCTAACAGCACAACGTTGAGGGGCTCTTGCACATCCTATCTGAGGGAACACTCCCTGAAGCCATGGCCAGAAAAAACAGCCCCTAAAATTCTAAACATCTGAGTAATCAGAGTTTTGATAAATTCAAGTCAGGGCCCAATAGAGAAAAACTGAGGACCAGTAATAACAGGAACGTTGAAAAAACCGAAAACCAACCCTAACAGTGTGAAAAGAGAGTTTGTTTGAGATGGCAACATGGTTTCTGTTATATGTTGTTGTTGTTAAGTGCTGTTGAGTCATTTCCAACTCATAGCGACCCCATGCACAGCAGAACAAAACACTGCCTGATCCCGCGCCAGACCCACAATCCCTGCTATACTTGAGCCCCTCATCGCAGCCACTGTGTCAA